GTGATCTGTCATTACTCATTTAACCTGAACCCTGATCAATGTGAACAACTAATGGGCAATTAACAATTATCCTCTGAGGGGCCGCATTGTCTATGTCATCTGCATTGGTTCAGATAATGCTTAAAAGACTGTCACAGAAATAAGAATCCTTTTCTTCTGCTATAACTACCCAGTGTTTCAAATTATTATTTAATAAAGCTTGCTTTTTTTATTTGACAAAGATCTCATTGATATGACAGTGACCCAATGTTCTCTTAGCTAGCCACACACCCCCCAACATTACAGAGAAAAAACAGACATGTTATTCTCAGCAGTGAAAATCAAAGAGGAAATTGTCCTTCCTAAGTGGGGCTCCCAGGAAGCCAGAAGCTGGCCCCATTCTCTTTGGAGTAAATGACAAATTAGAGTTATTCGTTAGGAAGATCCCACACCAAAGAAGGTAACTATCTTCATTTACTGTCTGAGATCTCAACATAAAATCACCTTTCAAATTTTATTAGTTTTTAGAAAGGGCTCTGTTTAGAAGAGGACCTCAAAACTGAGATATACTGGCATGATTAAAGATCATCTTGAAACTTGTTTGTAGTGTTTCCATTTTGTCAATTTACTAAGTAAATCTAGAACATAAGATTGCAAAGAAATCTGTTTTCCAAAAAATGATGTTCTGTGGAAAAAGAAGTCTCAGGAGATATGTGTACACTGCAAACAGCAACAGCAAACTGTCACATAGCTCTGATTACAAGCAAGGCATTGATCTACCACATCCTTTCTAGATATTACTTCATTTAATCTAACAACCATATCTGTAGGCTCAGGGAAGAGCACAGAAAGTGTGAAGAGAAAAGCCATTCACTCATCACATGTCCAGAAAGCTGAAAGTAGGCACTTCAGGGCATGTGACCTAGTCATCAACGGCTGCTTCGGATTCCTACCTGTCAGCTGAGAGTTGGGATTCAGCTAGACTTCCTGAATTGCATCGTTACCCTCTCATATTCTAAACACTGTTTATACCAATGTGAAGTTGTCATCTGATGCTAACCGTGCAGGACAGCATGGCTGCAATCAAGGATAATTGAGTTCCATGTGTTCCCACCCGGGGGGTTGCTCCTGATCTAGTTTCAACATGCACGGTTCCCATCAGGAGGCCTGAGTGGTTTCATCAATTGCCCACCAATTTTCAGCCAGGAAAAGTAACAGCATTATATAAAAGGGAAAAAATAGCTTGAATATTCTTTTTATATAACTAAATTTAAACAAAGAGAACCACTGTCCGTACTCTGCTTCACCATCCGTACTGCCAGGCATTGCAGTAGGCACCTTAACTATTAGTTTTAACTCTTGCAATAACCTGAAAGATAGGTGATATTTTAATGTCAGAGATGAAGAACCCAGTAATCATAAAGATTAACTGAAAAAGCATTCAGGGTAGAATGAAAGATACCCTTTTGTAGAATGCAGCTGAAGATATAAACTTTCTATTTTTGCTTCCAGAGCTTAGCAGAGCAGCGGGTGAAAGGAAGGAATCAATACTACTTAATCAATGGTGGAATGGACAACCCCCCCAAATATACAACTTCCCTCTTCATTAAGAGTTCTGAGGGGCACCACATGGCATTTAAAATTTGTCAAACACTTGGTAGAAAGCATAATTTACCTGTATTCAAGAATATGCCAGATTTTTTCTTATTTGTTTCATTAATAGCCTTAGAAAGGCACTCACATAATGAACATAGCACATTTTCAGTGAAGAAGCCAATTTGAAGGGGTTGTGGCTGAGGGTTATTAGAGGACCTTCATATGGGAATATTCAGGGAGTGTGGAAGATATTAGTGTGGATCACGGGAGAACCAGGCAACCCACCTGTAGACATTATGCATATCTTTACAAAAATATCTGAGTAGCAGAAGTGCATCACAGATAGATACACAGGGGTGGGCAAATGTAGGTTTAGAGTTGTGAGTATGCAAAACACAGTTTATTCTTGTATTGTTATTTATTAATTATTGTGCCATTTTCCAATATGAACAACTGTAAGCCTACTTTTGCCCAGCCCTGCTTTCATTTCTGAATAACTCAATATGTAACTTCTCTAAAAAGTCGGTGTTCGAAAATAGGACCTGCTGACAATCTGAAATGATTTCTATCAAAATATAGCTAACAGTATCCAAAATCTAATAACATCAGCAACTATAACTTTTGTCCATGTTATTTTACATTTGTATTCAAGACAAAATGCAAGAAAGAAAAATATATTTAAGAAAATCAGTATATCAAGAATGACCTACAGGAGGGGCATTCTATAATAAAATAATATTCAGACTGAGGAGCATTAAAAAACCCTCCATGTCACGAAAAATAGTAAAACATCATAAAGTAAGAATCTCATAGGAAGCTGTCACACAAAGCCAATTCTACCAAAAAAGCAACACTACATGAATTATTAAAAACGGGCATGAGAAATGTCATAGGAAATTGGACAGAACAAGTCAATGTAGAAAAGAGATCTCACAAATTGTAATACAGAAAAAGAAACCACTCATAGAATAAGCTATTGAGACACTTTCAGGAGAGGTAAGTTCACAAGAATAGCCTAGGGCAAGTGATCCTGTTGAAGAAACAGAATATGGAATTGAAGTCTTAGGAGGGATTAATGAATTGAAAACTGCAGACTAAGGAAAGAAACAGTGGGGGAGAGGATGAAAAATGCAACTGGGCTTGGTTACGAGAGTCTTGAAGTAGCTACCAACAGACAGAGGCAGTAGCTGGTGGTGCTGGTGCAAGGGACAACAGATTCATTGCAGTAAGGCAAAATTAAAATTTATACAACAAATCCATGCAGGAAACAAAGCAAACAGGGTCTCTCTACTTCATGGAGCTTCCCTTTTTGGAGAGGGGGGCATGCAACGAACAAGTAATAAACAGATAAGGGCAGAAAGACTGAGTATGGTTATTAGCATGCTGCTCTTCACTTTCCATCTTGCTCTACGATGTTTACAAAGCTGGCAAAACTCACGTGAGTAAAGAGGACAGGAGGGTGATAAAAGGGTAATCTCTCTCTCCTCCCCTTTCTCTCCCCCACCCCCAATTCTGAAGAAAGGGAGAGACAGTAAACTAGTCTAGTCTATAAGGAATGGTTATTAAGACCTCTAGGAAAGGCTAGAAGACTGATCATTTACCCGTGCTCAAGTGGAACAAAAACAAATGTGACACTGTTAAATGCAACTAGAGTTCTCACAGTAAGGTTTTCTAGATACTCAAGGTGAGGACTCTATTTAAGAGGATGATTGCGTCTACTTACATGTCGAAAAGAGACTGGCCAGAGGAAAATTGGCAGGTAGTGTCTTTAGTAAGAACCTGCACTGTCTTCAGAGCTTTGCTAATACAGTGGAAAATATTGAAAAAATTTACTGCTCTCTAAATAACACAAATTGGAAAAACACATAAACACACACACCAATGTACAGCCAAACGCCAGACTTAGTTTTGCGAACAAGCCGTGCCTGGAAGATAGCAAAGACAATTTCCTGGTTGCTTGGTCACGTGAGAATAAGAGAAAGGGGGAAAAAAAGAAATTTGAGGGAGGAGGAGAAGGCAAAAGGATGAGACTAAGCAACTGATAGATTTTTTTTTAAGTGATAAGCTCTTTTTTTTTTTGACACAGAGAAGATGAGAATACCAATAAAAACAAAAGCAGGATCTTGGTGGCAAAGGGGACCAGGAAGGTGTCACAAAGACTATATCTGTGCCGATGACCAAAACAGAATGTTTATGGAGGTCAGTAAATGGGAGGAATGGAATGGATGGTCACTAGATTTCTATAACTGTAATATGAAAGAAATTCTGGAGACAGAGGAAGGAGGACAAGAAGACACTGGTCTGGATCTCCCGAAACTTCTGCTGACCTAGGACGGCTGACCCTCTGCTCCTCACTAGCATTCAGTAGCTTCTCTACGTACTTAGGGTATGAAGCTGAAATGGATGGGAGTAGCAATATTCAAAAGGAAATGCAAGATACGCATCCTGAACCACCTTTTGAAATATCCAAATATCAGAATGAGGAGATTTACTTTAAAATACTATTCTTCACAATAGTGCAAATGAGTTGATTGTGAAGTTTTCCTGGTATTGTAGGTGACGTCTACAAAGGCTGTAAGTTAGCGGATAGTGGTTAGTCCTCATCTGCCTCGTTCGTTTTGCCAACCTCAACAAGAAAACCATTGAATTTTAAGAAGCACTGCTTTAGGAAGAAGACTCTGGACATAACCCTCGTACTTGGTATAAGAGATATCTGAAATAAAATACCGGCTATGATTAATTTTCTGGGTCCACAGCCAGCACTTGAGTACAAAGGAGGGGAAATGGAACAGGGCTGAATGGAAACAGGATTTATGTGTTGGTCAGTCACACCCTCTCACAAAAGAGGAGGAGAAATTATGCATTAGCTCGAATTTAAGGGAGAGGAGGCAAGACTCAAATATTCTCTTTTAAACACAGCAAGGACTCTACCTGCTGTTTGTTTTAGGGCTGCCATAATACCCTCACTACCAAAATTCAGAAATATATCACTGAAGATAATTTGCTGGCCCAGCGACGAGTGGGGATTTTTGTCAGTAGAAAGGTCAAATAATTTTCCACAAGGCACTGCAATTTTTAAGCTTTACAATTTTGCTATAGGTGACCAAAGGGGAAGCCCATTATAATGTTATCCACAGAAATTATGTTGTGAGTTAATGGAATGTGAGCAGTAGGGGACCAGCCTCAGGTGCTGCCCCCCACTGCTCTTCCTGAAATACATAATGATGGTGGGTTTTGTTTTAAATTTTTCTCCAACTAATGTGAGGGAAAAATTTATCCATGTCAACAGCAAGAACTCTTATCCCACAACCAGGCACTCTGTAATAGGATGGACTTCTAGATATAAATGCAAAGCTTTCTAAGGACTATGGCATGCAACAAAGATTTAGAGTAAGCAAAGAAAGTAAGAAAAAAAGTCGACTAACCTAACCCACCTGAGCTCGGCTCACAGGGGTCAATGTCCTCGTCATCACTGGGACACTCTGCTGAGGCCACAAGGATATCATCGGTGGTCTGTAAAAGAATCACATTCAGTAGATTAATTTAAAGAGACCTAACCAAATTTCTCATCTTTGTCTCACTGACAAGTGAAACACCATTTGTATTTCCCTGACAGGGTGAGAAACCAAATTCAGTATTTCCCTTCCCAAGGACACAGAGTTTACTTTTTTCCCAACTTATTCTAGATCTGTCATGAAAGTATTGCAAATTTGTGAAAACATGGTTACAACTTAATTTACATGAAGACATGGAAATGTTGGTTGCCAACTTGTAGATCTCCATGCATTCAAACTGCATGGAGAAGCTTCACACAGTAGCATCCAGGTTTAAAACAATCTGGCGGAAACAGATTTGAAATGTATCACCACCCTGGAGTGCTACAATCTATGCATCAGTAGGTTTTATGCAGTGCTGTAGTTGGCTTCCTAAAAGCAGAATAGCCATAACCTTTTACATTCATGATCAGGTAGAGTTTGATGAATCTTGAGATATAGCTTGTGGTTATTAGGACACATAGAGTGTATTTCACCAATGTAAAAAAGGAAGCAAAGATCGTCTATTTAAGGTATTTACAAATGTTGTGTTTAGCATTCACAATGGACTCTTGTTTTGGTAACATTTAGGTAGCAGGTATCTTTCTCCCGTTAAGGTTTCATAATAAATGAACAGCATCTTTGGGGGGATAGTATTTTACAGTAAGTGGGGAAGAGGTGACATTGTTCTCTGTGACATTCTACTTGCTTCACTGCACTTGCGGCAAAAAGACAACCATCACTGTAATAGAAAGCAGTGTGTAAATCCTAGTGGTTAGTCACATAATCAACTCATTTACCAGCGCTAAAGGTTGTTTTTTACTGCCACTTACAAGCAGCAGTAAATTCAGCATAGTTATTGCATGGAAATTGTGAAGGTTTGCATCAGATTTGGCTAATGCTAACACACAGAGAATTTATGGTACAAGAAGGAAAATATCTCATTACATCAACTAAGGATTAAGGAGATTATGGTTGTTTAGACAATACTTAGAATGGCAACATTAATGAAATCCTTATTTAAAAGTGGTATTAATCTATGTATGTGATTACATAGATTACATAGACTTATTGTGGTGATCACTTTGCAATACATAAAAATAGTTTATCATTATGTTGTACACCTGAAACTAGTATATAAAGTTATACCTCAGTAAAACTTTAAAAAAAAAGTAATATAGGTCTGCCCTGGCTGGCGTAGCTCAGTGGATTGAGCACGGGCCTGCGAACCAGAGTATCGCGGTTCGATTCCCAGTCAGGGCACATGCCTGGGTTGCAGGCCAGTTCCCAGCAGGGGACGCATGAGAGGCAACCATACATTCATATTTCTCTCCCACTCTTTCTCCTTCCCTTCCCCTCTCTCGAAAAATAAATAAATAAATAATTTTAAAAAAAGTAATATAGGTCTTACATTTAACAATATACAGAAATATGATATGACATGCTTTCATTAAAGGAGTACTTAACACAGAGCACAGAGATTAAAATATTAAAAAATGTGAAAATAATTGTGCCATTTTGAAAATGGACACAAGGGATGATGCACTTCTGTGACAAAAATTAGGTTTAAAAAACTTCCAAGTTCAGTATGTTTAATTAAGAATAAAGAATTTGTTCCGATGCTAATGCTTCACAATATAACTTTAACTAAATGCAAGCATTTAAATAACATCTTGAGATGGTTTCATATTATTCTGTTCTTAATTCCTCTGAGACAATTAGGAGATTGGATTCATTCATTTTGCTGCTATTATTTTAAACAACGAAGTTCAAAATATCAGTTTTCCTGGAATTGTAACTGTTTGTGTTAGTGACAACTACTGGAAGTTGGTATGATAGTAACACAGGTATCTTTCATAAACATGAGCTTTACAGGGAAAAACCCATCCTCCTGGCACAAGCAATCTTGCAGGCTAACATCCCAACCGACTTGAGAACAATGAGTTATTGGATTATGAGGTCTTGCTGGCCAATCGTTCCAATTCGCCCCAGAGCAGATTGTTCACTTTTTTTAGAGCTAGCTTCAAGTGCAAAGTTGCTTTTTTCTCAACCACAGTGGAGACTCTCTTAAATTAATGTTAAGGTTACAAGAGAATTGTTCGTGTTCCTTGAGGAATGTTAACTATATTAATGAAATCAGTGTGGGTTGTTGTTGTTCTGCTTTTGATAGGAGGATGTGAGTAAATTCTCCCATGTCCCAGCTGTGCTGTTGCCCCCTTCTTCCCCTTCCTGTACCTGGGAAACAGTTGGCCATGTCTGGAGACATTACAGGTTGACGTAACTGGGATGAGGATGGCTGGGTGGGGGTTGGGGGATGGAAGGTACCAGCTACCATGACATCTAATGGGGAGAGACAGGGAAGGCTGGTAAATACCCTAAAATGCATGTGACAGCCCTCCCATGACAAGAATTATCCAAAATGCCAACAATGCAGAAGTTGAGAAACTCTGATTTATAAGTTTAAAAACTATTCTCTGCCTTATTTTCTCATCTGAAAGATTGGGCCACATAATTCCTATTGTTGTAAGAATTAAATCAATACACAAAAAGTACCTAGAATAGTACCATATTGTAAATATTTATAAAAGTTGCAGTATTATCAATATTATTGCTATTATTTCACAAATGTAGAACCAATTTAATCTTTTTGCACTATATTTATAAATAATACAATTTTAGACATTGAACTGGAAGTTGTACATGTGAATTATCTTCCATGTAATATCTCATGTTAACATGTAATCAAAATACAGTAGCTATATTGGTACTTTGTTGAACTAAGGTAAGCTTCCCGCTTTTACTGTCTAGGTTCAAATTCTGGATTAGAAGTCAAGCATCAAGCTTACAAAATAAAGGCTACTTCTTAAAAGAAATTCACGGACCGCAGACTCAATTATTTAGCCACACAAGTTAAATTTTGTTTTAAAAGTTGACCTATTTTCTACATTCAACAGCCTTTTGGAACAATTCTATAGCAACAAGAATATATTAGAATATTCTCAGTGTTATCTTTCACAAGACAGTACCTAAACTATCAAAACATGCACCTATTAAATAGTACCTTCTGTAGCTCTTTAGAGTAGGGAAAAACTGTACCAATATGACCTTATTGTATAACTATAATTTAGTTTTTAATGTAATTTTCCTGGTATAATGAATATGCTATAATGAATATGCTTTTTCATATTCATGGTTTTCATATTTTTCCTTCTGAAATTAAAAATAGCAAGTCTCAAAAAACAGCAATAGCTCAGTGGATTGAGCGCAGGCCTGCGAACCAAACAAATGCGATTTGATTCTTAGTCAGGGCACATGCTTGGGTTGCACACCAGTTCCCAGCGGGGGACACACAAGAGGCAACCATACATTGATGTTTTTCTCCCTCTCTCCTTCCCTTCCTCTCTAAAAATAAGTAAATAAAATCTTAAACAAAACAAAACAAAACAGCAATAGTTTTGTGAATAAAAGATCTTGAATCAGTAGATGCATTCACAGAAATCATCTTTGTATTAAAAATCAGGAAGTGGCTCAAGTGTAGGAAAAAAATTAAATTTCACTTTGGAGGCTGAATTAACTGAAATTTTCTGGCCAAAGCTGTGTAATTTAAATTTAATTCACTGTGGTTGGAGTTGCCTCTGGATGACATGCTATTGAAAGAATGATAGAAAGAAACTCAAATGTGTCACCCATTAATCAGTTCTATTCTTCAGTATACTTTTTGCTGATGCTTATAACCTTTTGCAGAAAACAGACTACCTGCTGAAAGAGACGGAATAGTGATCAAGCAAAAGCATTAGCTTTGCATAACCATCCACCCCTAACTGTACACGTAACCACTCAGAGGTCAAAGGGCCATGCTGATCTTCCCTAATTCAGAGTGGTCTGTGCATTCACGTGGCATCAGCCCTTGCTCAAAATGTCCACCAAAAATACTGAGGTCTCCTTACATTGAGGGGAAGAAAATAAAGGCATTGAAACTTAGTTCATTATATTCAATGGATAAACACCAATATGGTATAGGGTGAGAAAATGTAATCAGGACAGGGGAGAAAGGATGTTCTTAGTTAGACCAGTCAGATGGGTACAAGATTTATTGGGGTGGTCATTTCGTAAGGTATACAAATGTCTAATCACTATGTGGTACATCTGAAAATAACATAATGTTGTATGTTAACTGTAACTGAAAAATGAATTTTAAGAAACCTAAATTTATTTAATATCCAAGGTTATTCCGGAACAACCATTTGGTAAGAAAAAAAGAGAAATTTGGAATTTGCTACATATTCACCCACTGTCACTTTTTAAACTAGCTATAGTACAATGCATATCAGTGTGGTAAAAAATATATAAGAAGATACAAAAACTTGGTCTGAATGTTTCATCTCTGATAAGAACAGCACTTTTAGATTTTACTCCTCATGCTAAATAGCTTTGCTAAAGACTGAGACGTTCCTGTGAAAACACCTACTAACCTCTACTAGGAAAAATCTGCTTTATGAGAAAAAGAGCAAACTCCAACTATGAAAAAGGATGGTCATTATGAATTTGATGCCTGCACAGAAACCCTTGATGTACTGTAAAATTACAGTTGAAACTTTGTTTCTCAACAGAAGTAGTCTTTCTGGCTATACAACCAAAGACAATCCAAAGGTAAAGTAAAAAATACTGTCTCAAGCAATGGCACTCACTTGTAAATACTATTTAGCCTAATTGTTCACTACTGTGAAGGATACTGAGACTGAATTCACTTAGAAAACTGATGGGTGGAGGTATGTGCTCGTGGAAGTGTGATGTGTTTGGCTAATTGATAGATACTTGTTCTTGCTAATACTTTTGTTGATATGAAGCTGCTCTGGGAGAGAGAGAGAGAGAGAACATTCATGCCTGGCTTTTAGGACTGAATCTGATAGTCCCCCAGAGAAGAGTTATTGCTAGGTGTGTTTCCCTGAGATGTCATGATTCAGAATTCATGTTACAAAT